TACGGACTCAGTAGTTCATTCCGGTCCTCTCTTAATAATGAGTAGCAAAAGTAGCTTAAATGTCGATCAATAAGGCATATTGATGGTTTTAATCATTGATGAACTCTAAAAGCAATTGAGGTGTGAGATTGGTCAGTGATCCACCATCAGATGATCAGACAACTGCAACCGAAATGGGTTATTTACTCTAAAGTAGTGGCCTACATCAAGTCACGAAATACAGTTATGACAAAAAATATAATTATCATTAACTCTGTACTCAATTTATTTGAAACTATCAGGTTCAACCTTGGCATTGATACCTATAAAATAATTTGATTTATTTTTATTATTGTTTCGAACTACTTATAAGTAGCCAAACGCAGCTCTTTAAGGATATTTAGTTTCACATCATTTTTGAGTTTTTAATTTTCTGAATCTCACTACTGTTCTACTCTATCATATAATGCATGCATCAAACTCCTCTATAGATATATGAAATTATCTTGTTAGTTTATGTATTTGTTTATTTGAACACATAAATATTGGTACAAGAGGTCACCAAATGTATATGCGCCACACATAATTATCGACAGTTCATCATATTTGTATGAGGGCTGTGATACTGCCCGGGTGCCCAGACTGAAGCAGGTGGTTTTCTTAGGAGGCCACACCCCGAGCCTTTGACCTCAAGGTCTAACCCACAAGGCAGTGGAACATAGGGAGGAGTATATTCACAATTATCGAAAATGTGTTATGGTCTATGAGTTTTAATAATGATATACGTGGTTTTAGGTTGTTACGATGTTAAACACATGAAATACAGCGTAGAATTCTCTTTTCAATGAGTTTATTATCATACTTTATTTACACTATAATCTAACGTTAGCTTATTAATTTCTAGGTACTTCCTCACGTACACAGACCCTTTTTAGTTACTATTTACACTATGTAACCTAGCACTAAAATCTATCACACCAACGTGTCTTTTCACTGGTCATTTTCCCTTGCAGAAGTAATGCTTAGAATTTCATATGTATGTACGATTTTACAACTCGATAGTAAATTTTTTGAAAAGAGAGTCCTCTCTTAAATTTCGTGTTTTTAATGTTTAAATGAAGCTCAGAAATTTCTTGTTATGATGGATGGATTTAATACTGGTCAATAAATGAAACTCATTTAATTAATTTAGCTCATTAGACCTCATTCTCTACTCAAACCCTCTAAATAAACTCATATCAAATAATAACACAACTCCCAATGGAAGAGTGAAATGAAATACGTATACAAAAAATATAAGTTACAAGATAAGTATTATATTAGATGTTATACATGGATTTCAGAATGAGTTTGGTAGATTACTTCAGTCAGTCACAACGTAGAACCTGTACGTATGTACATCGGTTCAAGTTGTCACACTCCACTAGCATAGAGAGATGAAGCTGTCAGGCCAAATCTAAGGATAGTAGAGGTGGCAATAGTAAGGATTTGGGCATCGAAGGTACGACTTGAAACTATAAATTATCGGAATAAAACAAGGTTATGATATATTTTAAAATCTCAGGATATAGAGGGGTGACAAAAACTGGATGCACCTGCGCCATTGCAAATGATTTCAAACCATGTCATTCAAAGTCTAACGTTTGGTTATAATAATCACGCGGATACCAACCAGGTAGTCTGTACCAATTAACATGGCTAAACCCGATTGTCAGTAACTTCATGAACTGATTCTAGGTTTTGGTTTGGCTGCCCCTAGCTTTCTTCCAGCCTACTTCTGCACCATAATACATCGCCCGTCGAGGTAAGCAGTGGTTTGACATACGTAATACGTCCCAACCACCTCAACTGATGAACATTTATTATCTCATCAATCTGTTTGCTTTCTTTACCTGGTAATCTATTCCTAGCCTCAGCATTGCTTACTCAGTGGTCCAAAATACACGAACAATACTTCGTATACACTTATGAATAATTACCAGTAAACTACGAATATCTTTTACTCTTAATGGTCATATTCAACATCCATAGAGTAGAACGGAGCAAACTGCCGCTCAGTGAACTCGCCCTTTGGTTGAAAGATGGGTATTTCACCTACGCCATAAGTGACACAAGTTGGCAAAAGCCAATCGAGATTAGATTACTTTCATCCTAATGAACTGAAACTGAATTGTTAGACCAGTCATATCAAATATAGCTTATGCCTACTAGGTCATCTTGTACGACCGTAGAACTGATGCATTCCACACAACAACTAGTTTTTTTTACGTCTAACCTTGCTGCTCTGAGGTGATTTATAGTAATTGTTTGATATTTAACTTCAGAACAGGTCATCATATTTACTAAGTGATGTTAGGTTTCCTTTCAGAAATTTTTCTTTTCCACAAAAACCTTAGTATTACTTCTAATTTCCTAAGGGTGTGGTAATCGGTAACGTAGATATCAGTCGTTATCGTTACATGTTGAAAAAATAATGTTTTTTTATCTGATTTTTTACTACTATCATAGTAGTTCCTTATCTGACTACTTCTCCAAAGAATTGACTTTTTAAGAACCATACTTCAAAGTGTATACGGTATTCTCCACAGACTTCAGTCGAGGATAGTAACAGACAATTTGAACAATGACCAATTTTATAATATTGTTGTTTAGAATTTATTACTACCATATGAATTATTATTGAATATAATTAAATATCTTTCCAATATCCTGCAAATTCAGATGTTGAATAAACACAAATTGATTTGTGAAAAAAAAAAACTCACTAACTTCATTTTGTTTCCGTTCACCTCCACAACATTAAATCGACTATGGATTAGAAATCATTATTCATTGTACTATAATTAACATTGATTGAAGTTTAATAATTAAAGTATAAAATATAACGACCAAATCTACGTATTTGGTGTTAGATTATATGGATTAAATTAGCACAATCTAGATTTTAAGCATCTTGAATAACTTATTTGTGACAATTGGATAGCTTGAATTGGTAAATTAAAAAAACTATAAACAAATTTCTTATCCAACTTCATTTCTGTATAGTTCGTTTGACTTTGTAAGCAATTTTGAATGAACATTCTTATGGAAATAAATGACAATACTTATTATGTTCTCTGTTAATAATATGTTTAATAATTCTCCTAACACATTGTCTTGATCTAATGATTCATGTACTTAATTTTCAACCGTTGTGCCACAGGTTAAAGCTTTCTTTGTTTACATTGGCTTGAACAACTAAATAGTCAGTCAATCAGTTATAAGCAACATGGAAACTTGTACATATTTGTATCGCTTCAAGCCCCCACATCGTATCAGTATATCAAGATCAAGTCATCAAAACAAATACTAGAATAGATGTAGCAAACGTATCAGTGCTAATAGAAATAATAAGAGATGAATAATATGATTTGAGAAGAAAGAATCGATTTTTGAAACTCATTGATCCAAGGGAAGACAAAGAGTATTTATTTATTTAAACAAATAAACATTGGTACGAGGCACCAAACAGATATACGCCACATAAATCATTCGGTTTGTGTGAGGGCTGTGATACTTGCCGGGTGCCTAAATCGAAACAGGTGGTTTTCCTAGGGGGCCACACATGAAGCCTTTGACCTAAAGGTCTAATCCACATGGCAGTGAAGCAACGTCAGGGGGTGCAGTCCTATGGTAGCTGGTGATCAACAATTGGTTCATATGTCATTTGTTTCCTTAAGATCCTGGAGACCACATACATCATTGGTTTAAAATGAGGGTTTTCCAACTCCCTATGTGAACCCTCCGTGTCCACCAACCCGGTTGAAGCGCCGGACATTCGTTTTTCGTCCTCACAATTCCGTAAACAACATCGCCGTTGCGAAGAAGTAGTAAGTAGGACTTCCCTGACAGTGGTTGTATGCATGTGGCTATGTGAAGCATTTTGAAATGAGAGTTGACTCTCCCCATTTCGGCCGTACCAGGGCATTTGGGGGCAAGACAAAGGGTGATCGTATCTATGTCATTTTGATCGATTCTATACTATGTTATCTAAAGCCTCCACAATAAGCTCACGGGCTTTAACCTAATAGCTTGCACTTAACTACGTGGCTCATTTCACAACGGCTTTATAAACTAAAACCGTGTTTCTATTTAGTCAATTTCTAGCTTTCTTTGAGCTAATATAAAAGTTGTATATTGTTTTATTAGAGTAAGTAGGAATTTACACTGTTGTTATGATTATTTACTGATTAAAACAACAACAACAACGAGAAAAAAATCGATCATCTAACATTATCGATTTTTACCTCATTCATATTTATTATTTTCTCAAATTCCATTCACATTCATCTAATGATCTCAAATGTATTTACTTCTAATTACTATTTCTAAACAATTACACACATAGTTTTTATTTTTTCTAAAAATATATATGTGTGTGTGCTTATGTCACATGCAAATTAATCAATAAAGAATCATCTATTTACTAAAATTAAATCTAGTCAACAACAACAACCAAAAAAAAAAGTGGAATGTTTGTATTTGTGTAATAATAGATCTCTATATCTATATAATCTGACCCGTATCTTGTGGTTTGTGTTTTATAAGCCTTTTATTATATAAGACTATTATTCACTACGTCAATCTTTTAACCACCACCATTTCGATTATTTTTTTTTGCGAAAAAAAAATCACTATCTCATAGATATTATATATATATGTATATGAGGGTAACTTGTTTTATAAATCACTGAAAACAGTTTTGCATATATTGAAAATTTAAGCTACATTATCATATCATTATTGAGATAAAATATCAACACTTGATGCATAGTACTCACTTACGCTTGTTACTCCTTATGAAGGAGCATAGGTCTCTAACTAGCATTCTCCACCCAACCCTGTCCCAAGCAATCCTTTCCAGTTGCTATTCATTCTTTTCATATCTGCTTCTAATTCTCGATGTAATGTGTTATTTGATCTTTCTTTTCTTCGTTTCCCTTCAGGATTCCAAGTTGGCGCTTGCCTCGTGATGCAGTTTGATGATTTGCATAATGTATGTCCTATCCATTTCCAACGTCTCTTCCTAATTTCCTGTTCAGCTCGAAGTTGGTCCGTTCTCTCCCACAGTAGGCTGTTGTTGATGGTATACGGCCAACGGACATTGATTATCTTGCGTAGACAATTGTTCATAAATACTTGTACTGTTTTGGTGTTGGTTGTGGTAGTTCTTCAAGTTTCAGCTCCGTACAACAGAACTATCATGATGTTCGTATCAGAGATTCTCACTTTGATATTGGTCGATAGACAGGTGTTTTGAGTTCCATATGTTCTTCAACTGTAGGAATGGTGTCCTTGTTTTTCCAATCCTTGCCTTTATGTGTGCATCAGATCTTCTTTGTTCATCGGTGATGCTGTCCAGGTACGTGAAATTTTCCGCCTCTTCCAGAGTTTCTCCATCAATTGTGATTAGTTTAGTTGGTGTTTTCTGTGTTTTATTTGAGGATCTTGTTCTTTCCCTTGTGTATGTTGAGGCCTACTGATGCAGAAGCTACTGCTACACTAGTTGTTTTGATCTGCATTTGTTCGTGTGTATGGGATAGAAGGGCCATGTCATCTGAGAAGTTCTAATCTTCTAATTGATTCGGAGCTGTTAATTTTATTCCGTGCTTCCCGTTTGATGTCGAGGTCTTCATAATCCAGTCAACCACCAGAAGATAGAGGAAGAGAGAGAGTAAGCATCGTTGTCTGACTCTGGTCCTCACTTGGAATGCGTCTGTCAGCTGTCCTTTATCTACCGCTTTGCGCTGTTGTCCGTCGTATGAATTCCGTGTGATGTTGACGATCTTCTCAGGTACACCAGTGTCGAAGAAGATTCCATAAGGTCCGCCTACTCACATTGTCAAGTGGTATGGCAGCTCGAACTGATGTACGTACGCTTTCTCACAGTCACGAAAGTTGATGTACAGTGGCGATTTCCATTCAATTGATTGTTCAACCATCATCCGTTGTGTTGCGATTTGGTCTGTGCACGACCGATCCTTACGGAGTCCAGCCTGTTGATCTCGAAATTGGGCGTCTACCGAATATTTCATCCGGTACAGCAACATTGTCGGAAACTTTTCCTGGTACCGATAGTAGTGTGATTCCTCTGTAGTTCTCACATTTGCTCAGATCTTTCTTTGATATCTTGATGAGGTATCCTTCTTTCAGTGGCTCTTGTTCTTTATCCCAAATCTTCCTGAATGAAACGTGCATCATGTTTGCAGTTACTTCTGTATCCGACTTAAGAGCTTCAGCTGATATATTGTTAGGTCTTGCTGCTTTCCTACTCTTCATTTGTCTGATGGCCATCCTGATTTATTCGCTCATTGGTGGAGCGACATCTACAGGAAGGTCTATCTGTACCGCTTCGATGTCCGGTGGATTCAACAGAGTTGGTCTACTCAAGAATTCTCCGAACTATTCTACCCATCTGTTCCTCTGTTCTTTAGTCTCGGTGATTGTCTTGCCTTCCTTGTCCTTGGCCGGTCCCTCTAGTTTACCCTATTTCCCTACCAGTTTCTTCGTTCTGTTATATAGTTGTTTGATATTTTATTCTGTTGCAGCTTTTTCTGCTGTCGTTGCTTGGTCTTCTACATATTTCTGTTTGTCGGCCCTAATGCTCCTTTTCACTTGCTTGTTTGCTTTAATGTATTCAGCTTATGCCTTGACTTTCTCTGCCATTGTCCAGCTGTTGTTACCTGCTTTCTTTTTGTTCTTCCTTTCTTGAATCCTGTCCAGAGTTTCGATAGCGATCCATTCCTTACGACGATACTTGTTGCCGTCCAGAACCTCATGATATGTTGAAGTTAGTGTTTCTTTCACCCTTTTCTAATTTTCCTCCATAGTAGTTTCTTCCGTGAGTAGATCTTGTAAGGCTTGGAACCTGTTATTAAGAGTTATCTTGAATTTGTTGAGTTTGTTAGTATCTCGAAAGAAGGCTGTATTGAACCTTTGTAGTGCTGTTACCTCAGTTGTCCAGTTTTTCTTTAGCTTCAGTTTCATCTTGGTCACAACCATGTGGTGATCTGAAGCTATGTCAGCTCCTCTCCTGGTTCTCATGTTTTAAATTGTCCTTCTGAATACTTTTATTGATACAAATATGATCTATCTGGTTCTCTGTCGTGTGGTCCGGTGAGACCCATGTAGCTTTGTGTATGTGTTTGTGTGGGAATATTGTTCCGCCTATAACAAATTTGTTAAGTGCAAATAGGCTTGCAAATCTCTCCCATTTTCGTTTCTCTCTCCCAGTCCATGCTGTCCCATGATATCTTCATATCCGGTGTTGTCCGTCCTGACTTTGACGTCTAGGTCTCCCATCAGGATGATGAGATCCTTTCTTGGCACTTCACTATGATTGATTTCAGCCTCTCATAAAACATCTTTATTGTCGTCGTTGCTATCCTTGGTGGGTGCGTAACATTGGACAACATTCATCATGATTCTTCCCTCCTTCTTTGTTTGAAGGATGATTGATGATTCTGGATCCATGAGATGGGATGGGATTAATGATTCCATGCTCAACCCTCCTCCTAGAGTAACTACAGTTGAAGGAATGAATCGGCGAGATAGAAATTAGGAAAGTAGAAAATAAAAAATTAATCCATCTACCCCATTACAGTCGACTTTAAGTTGTGTTGCCCAAGGTCTCCAATTATTGACCATAATAATCGTGTTTATCCAAACTGACTAGTTTGCACCCCATATACTGCACAAACTGACAGCTTATAATTTAATTAATTGGTCATTTATCTTTGTTTTAGCGTCTCTAGCTTTCTTCCAACCCACTCTCCTATCCCACCCATCATTCCATATCTAGCAAGCCAGTGGTTGGGCGTAACTAACTCAATACTCTGATAGTAATAATAGACCCTAAAAAACTTGCAGTAAATATATTAGGTCATGACTTCAACTCTCAAATTCATTGGCTGTTGGTTGGTTAAACGATGAAAGGAAATAAAAGTCTTTGAGACATCCGGAACTTAGTGGTTGGCAATTTTCTGTGACAGTATGAAAAGCCCTTCCACAAAGTAAATGATTGCCAAATCTTAGACCTTACTTTCCGTTTTGTTAAGTTGATTTGAATCACAGTAATTCATATAAGCGTTTGTCTTTTTATGTGTGTACTATAAAGGTGAGGTGTTAGTATTTAAACCCGATCGTTATATACCACTTTTTTGTAAAAACACAATAAATGGATTTAGTTCCTTATATTCAAGAAAGTAATTAGGCTAACAATAATTATTGTTAAATAGTTTGTATTTATATTCCTGGCGTTTTTATATCAGATTATGGATCGGAATGTATGCATTCAACCCATTCAATTATTTATAGTTGATTAGTGTTGGTTTTATCAAATACACACACAATCTTGTTCCTGCAGTCTATAAGATGCATCGGTAAATCCTTTCGGATGTACTTTTGGCATGTTTCCTTACCTGTATATTTCTGAATCTGTTTGTTCTCTTTGTAACAGTCATTTATAACTAAGGGGTGAGTGTTAGTCATTAACCTGCTAGATAAATCCCATTTAGTCTTTTAATTACCAACTCGGTAACCGATTTAAACAAGTTTGTTCTCGAACTGGTTTAACGAAGAACTGAATGCACCCACTCATGTGTATACTATCTTTCGTGGGACCCTGTTTATTGATTACTATTTCTTAAACTGTATAGACCAATAAATGGGGGGGGGCATGATTATCGTGCAACTCGATAGTTCACGACGTCACTAGACACACCTCAAAATGAAAATCAGTGGCGATCCTTCTGTTCATCACAAACATCAGGATGCCTTTCTTACTAAACGAAACCTGCGTTTATTGTGTCTTTACTCAAACTATGCACTTTAACACATGCTATCCCTACTTTTCTGAAGGTTATTTATTAGTTGTATGAGTTTTCTCTCATCTAACTCTTCTGAGTACGAATTCCTAAAGGTTGCCTGGCTACTGCTAACTTGAGTTGCTTTTGGACTAGGCCAAATGTCCATCTGCCAACAAAAAGGCTAGTATACTGAGCAGCAATCCGCTTTATATTACTCTATGTCTGTGAAATGCCTCATTTAAAAGTAAAGAACATTCATAAATCAATATTACTTATTTATAGATTCCTTTAAGCATTGCTTGCGTATACTGGGATCGCTGAGTAAGCAATGCTGAGATTAGACGCAGCTTACTAGGTAAGCATTGCAAATTGACTTATAAAGTAGTGAATCTTCATAGACTGAAGTGTTACGTAACCCTAACTACTTCCTGTCTGGATTTTTTCCCATGGCTGGTGTAGGAGTAAGTCGGAATAAATCTGGGGACGGCCAAACAAAAACTTGATATCAGTCCATAAATTCATTGACCGTTAGTTTTAGTCGTGTTGGTAAGTCCTGATTAGCTGGTTTGAGGTCCTCTGAATAGCCATATTCAGACTTTGGACTCTTCAAATCCATCCACTCCTTTAGAATTGTATTTCCTTAAGTTTTTTTCTCACTGTTACTACCATTATTTTGACTTCCTTATTATTTGTTGTGATATGACAACTTGGACTGGTACTCATTTTTGCCAGCTTCTATGCTGATAGTGACTGACTAATTTTTTCATATCAAGGTTAACAAAAATAATTTAGCAAGCATTATGAGTAAGATACCAAACGTTTATGTACCCAAGATCCATATTTCAAATCCAATGCAGTTTAAATTGACTAAAAAATTGATTGACCGAGTTAGACTGTCTATGTATTCTAAGATAAACAACAGATTATTATTCAGAACTATTATCTCTGAAACCATTGTCAACAAATACTCAGTAACGGTCATGCATTTATCTAGATCTACTCCACTTCTCTTGCAATTTCAAAAGACTGTATGCAGATTGTCTAGTATTTTATGAATTTTCGCACCGAAAGCCATTCAAATGATCTACACGTATTATGTTCAGTGTACAAACAAACTTTTTCTGTTTATTACTTACCTTTTTCTTTAAGTTGATCTACTGGTTCCGTCACTAATTATACTACTCTGGCA